CTGCTATTACCCTTGGTTTCTTCTGTCCACCAACTGCGGTGGGTCCACTTACAGCCTAAACATCCCTCTGCGGCCGAATTTCACAGTGAGCTCATCATAACCCGCAGGAGTTTCAGGACTCAGCATTGGAATCTGTGTCCGTCCAGATCTCAGATAGATGTTCCGATACCATCACAGCGAGTGTCTCAAGGTGCACTGGCTCCAGCGCTAAGGGCTATAAGGTATCCAGCACGCAGAAGGTTCTCAGCAGCCCGGGGTAACAGGTGCAAATGTTAGACTGCACGTCCAGTGTGCAGGAAATACCACGTTCCTTAGTTTCTCCTGGTTAACCTGTAACTTCTAAGTCCAAGCATCATGCCACTCTGTGTGTGAGAGGGGGGGGCATAACCTTAGTTCTCCCTGGTTTCTGTCCCCCCCTCGCCCCCCACCCTGGAGTCCTGATTCTAACACAACAGCCCCTGGTGCTCATTCACAGAACCACACAGATCGCCGCTCAAATATTCACCTCGCCTCCTGCCCAGCATCTCAGATCCAGTGTCCTTTCTGACATTTCTGCACCACGGTCGTGAGCATGAGGGGTCCGTCACCTCCCCCCGCCACCTCGTCCTTATCTCTGGGACCCTGCTGGCTCCCTGGGACAGGTTGCTTTCTGCAGTGAGAGCCCCCCCCCCCCTTCCTGCCAGGGAGAACATCTTGTTGTGGTTTGGAAAGATCTTCCTGTTTTTGTCAGGATGTCCTGTGTTAAGCCCTGACATCCTGTGTCGCCTGCAATCACTAAACATTTGTAACCATGATCTAGCGTGACCTGGAAGGTATTCTCTTTTCTGCTCTGCCACATTCTTCCCCTGCGCTCCACGGAAATGAGTGGGTATCTGACATGGATAAGGAGAATAAAAGAGAAAATTTCAAGGAAAGGAATAAAGACATATGTGAAAATGTCAAATATTATCCCGACACACAAAGGCAGGATTTGTCAGAAAGAGAAGTTTTTGCCCACGGGCAAGGTTTTCTGTTTTTGTTTTTAACCTTCACAGGCTGTGTGTGCGTCCTGGGGTGCTGTGGGGGGCGATACCCTGGGCGGGATCCCCAAGGCTGTGTAAGAAAAGCCCGGACGCAAGGGTCCGGCTTCCCGACGACAGACTCTTCTCGGCCGAAGGGGAGGAGCGGACCCAGGAAACAGGAAACATGCAGGAACCGCTCCTGGATAATCCTGGCTGGCTAGACAATGGGGACGATGGGAAAACGCAGGAGGGAAAGCGGGGGATGAAAATGTGGAAGAATCCCCGTAGGGAGGGTTCAATAAAATCATCAAAAGAAAAATACAAGCCATGCAGAAACCCAGCCTGAGCTCAGAAAAAGGAGTTGAAGACGGTACAGCTCCTCCCGTGCACAAAGCAGGGGCCACGCTGAGCATGAGGCACGGCGGGCACAGGATAGTGAGCTCAGAAGCCCAGGTGGTGGGCGAGCCTGGGGAGTGCACGGGGGAGGGAGGGATGCATGGCAAGGTGCGGTGGCCTCGGAACAGAGGCCAGGTCGGGGGAGGCACCGAGGGGCAAAGCCAGGGCTACAACCCGGCTCCTCGCACCCAGGAGGCAGCAAACCGCCAGGAAGTTTGCCCCAGTTTACACCTGTCCTGGCTTATGAGCAGCACACTTCTCAGTTACAGCCTAAACCTGAGGATAGTCTGGCAAAGAACCTCAGACCCAAGCTCAAGGACGAAAAGCTACACCTCGCTGCAAAGTGGCTCATCTCTATGCCCTAGACCTAAGGGCAAGAGCAGATTCGAGTGACAGCCTCGGACAGCTCACCGATCGATACCTCTGTCGAGTCACAGATACACCCATGTGCGTCCACCTGAGTCCAATTAGGAAACAGAAACCAACCAGTGAGCTAAACAGGAGTCCAAAAAAGTTATAAAACTGTAACAAAAAAAAAAATAACTATTAGATAAGAGGAAACTCTATCTCCCTGAACCCCAGGGCTGGGGAGAATATCCAAGGAGGAAAACACCAGGAAAGGTGGCCCCTCCCCAAGCCTGGAGTGGAGACCTCATTGCAGACGGTGTAGTTCAGCCCCATGGATGGCAGAGAAGTTCGCTGGCTTCTCCAGGCCAGAGCTGGCCTGCAGCCACTGAACAAGCTGGAAACATTTCTCCAGGCGTCACTTAGACTGGGGCTTGCAAACCGCCAGGCAGCAGGCGGACTAAGAACACGTGAGGGTTTGCAGAGGAAAGGGGCTGCAGGAGGAGCAGGAAGTGCCGGTGACACGTGGGAGTGCCAGAGGCCCCATCAAGAGGGCACGGGAAGGCCCTCCCCAGGCTGAGGCTGCACGGTCACCCAGTGCCCGTGAGATCTGGGCAGGCGGCCGGGGCAGCGGGCACAGGGTGCCTTCGCACGCACTCTGCAGACCCCACGCGCCACCCAGCAGCCCAGCCCCTCCTCTGGCAGCTCCTCTGCAGGGCCCTCTACTGAACCCGCTTAACTCTCAGCTGCTCACTTTACAGACGTGATCAGAGGAGTTCCAGCCATCATCCGCGAGCTCAGAAGAAGGAAGAAACTGGAGCTGAGCGGCAATAAAGTGACAAGGAGTATTCACAAAGGGACTATCAACAGCATCGAGAATGATTCCTTCCACGTCTCCGGAGAGTTTTTAAACCGAGGATTGGAAGAAAGGGCGGATTTTTCTCAAAGACAGGCCTTATTCCCAAAACACATCGGTTGCTTAACAAAAACCCAGAGTTACTGTAAATGCACGCTGAAGCATTTCCAGAAGGATTCCAGAAGGGACTTGAACACGCTTGCCCCGAGAAGGAGGAAGGCCAGTGCATGGGTTCGCAGCCTACCACTGTTGGGGGTTGAGTTGCACCGCTGCCCTTGGCCCGTGGCGCACCAGAGGCGGCAGCAGGTCCGTGTTCTGAAGGTACCACAGACCCCCGCACATTTGTACACATTTGCTCCCTACCCTCTGTAAATTAATCTGTCTCCACCCACTCGAGCTGCTGTAACAAAATGCCATAGGGGGCACCTGGGTGGCTCAGATGGTTTAGCACTCGCTTTGGCTCAGGTCATTATCTCCCAGTTCGTGGGTTCAAGCCCCATGTAGGACCCTGTGCTGGCAGCTCGGAGCCTGGAGCCTGCTTCAGATTCTGTATCTTTCTCTCTGTTCCTCCCCTGCTCTCCCTCTGTCTCTCAAAATTAAATAAAAATGTTTAAAAAATTGTTTAAAAAATGCCATAGAACATGGCTTAGAAACTACAGAAATGTATTTCTCACAGGCTGGAGGCTGAAAGGCCGAGGCCAAGGCCCTGGCTGGCTCGGGGCCTGATTGAGGCTCTGCTTCCTGGTTCCATGTGACACAGGAGAAAACTGAGTCAGAGGCTCGAACTCTGGTCTTCTGACCCAGGGCATTTGCTGGTTCATCTCATTGCCTTTAGAGTCCTGCGCCAAACTCCCCTTCCAGAAGCCCTCCCTGACTGACCCCAGGCCAATATTTTCACTTAGCATTCTGAGGAGTTTGTAACACAGCATTGCCCAAAGCCTGGGCACAGCGCTCTCTAGCTGAACATCAGAATCATCTGAGGGCTTGTTAAAACACAGATTCCAGTGGGGGGGGGGGGGGGGGGGGGGGGGGGGGGGGACACTCCCGTTTCTCATTCTGTAGGTCTAGGGTGGGGTCCAGAACACTGTGCAAGTTCCCAGTGGTGCTGAGGCCACTGGTCAGGAGGCCACAACTGGAAGGGACCCATGGATTTAGGAGCAAGACCTTCACCCACACCCTGGGCTCCACTGGCGAGTCCAGCACACAAGATGCCAAACCTTAATTTTCTCATGCTGCAATGACTCTCTGACAAAAGTTTTATCCCACTTCTTCCGGGTGTTGAAGGGTCCTCACCTAGGAACAGAGCAGACAGCTGGGCGGCGATCAGCGCAGCTCACACCTGCTCAAGTGGGTTCACCCTTTCCTGAGCAGAGTCCCATCTAACAGCCGGAAGTAGCAGAGCCTGTTTGGGGAGATACGTCACGCCGATCTTCCTCCAAGTGAAAAAAGCAACTGGCCATTTGAGACAAATACCCCTATCCACAGTAACATTTTATCTACATAATGCACATACACTATGATTTCTCCTTTATAAATCAGTTACACCAAACAAAAGCTTGACAAACCTGTGCTTTCTTACAAGCTTTTAAGAAGCAAACTTTCTTCTAAAGAGAAAACGTCCCCCCTTTATAAATCCAAATTCACAAAAGAGACTATGGCCTAAAACTACCAATATGTCATTCAGGACAAACTTTTTTCCCAAAAGAGACACAAACTAGGAGCCTCCGCATTGCCAACAGCCAGCAGCGATGTACTTGGGGTGTCCCAACTATCTTATAAAAGTTTGAGTGCACATTTTAACATCAGGCATGCTCACAGAAAAACCCCGTTTCAAGAAAAGTCCCCTTTTCCTGAAAAGTGTGGGCTATAGCCAAACCCTGGGGTCTTACTTTATTTATGCATTCATTCGTTTTCCAGTCTTTATTCTTGACAACAAGCAGTTGGGCCTCCTTTGGGAGCAAGCACTTTCTGATTCACTCCAGATTCCACCATTCAAACAAGGGCCACACACACCTTTTCCCCCCAGCCCATATCTGCTGGTCCCTGGAAGTCTGCACTTCTGTTTTTACAGAACCACGGGTTTAGAAACTGGCAGTACAGTGAAAAAGAACTTAAAACTTCTTAGATAAAATGTCGAAAGGATGTGATGAGAGCAGTCTTCTGACAATTGTCTGCTTCTTCAGGGCACCACCTTTCTTTGCCCCTCAACTGCTGAGCTGACGACCTGGGAACTTGGGGTCCCGAGTCCCAGACAAACAGCTGCGGTAAGCACAGTCAGAGGATGTTTTGATAGGAGCTGTGAAGGTGAGGAAGAGAGAGAGCATTAAGCAAAAGGGGAGAGGGGCTGGAGGAGAGAAGAAATGGGGAGATGCTGAGGGAAGGAGGGGTCGGGAAGGAGAGACTTACCAGCGCCTCTTGAAGATTAAGTATCCAATGCACCCAACGATCACAAGGGGCACTACCACGGCCACGGCGATCAGCCCCGGGGAGGAGGGGCTCCCTGTTGCATGGGGAACACAGGCTCTCAGCACTAGGATCCTGCCCTATTCCAAGGCCCCGTGGTCTAAGTGAGCCCGAGGGTACCAGGTGTCCCACACAGAGGGCCCACTTCCACTCCTCTGCAGTCTAATGACACCATCTCGTCTCAGGGACCAGGCACCGCGACCCCAGCCCCCCCGCGGGACAGCACACAGAGGAAAGGCAGCAGATCTGTAGCCAGGAGCCAGCTTAGATCTAATTCGTCCACTTCCTGCCATGAGACTCGGGACAGTGAACCTGGCCTTGCTCAGTCTCCATGTCTTCAACTATAAAATTACAAGCAGGGCACCTGTTTCAGAGGAGCCTGGACAAGTGGACACCATGCTGTGCACAGTCAGGAAGCCCTCAAGACACAGCACCTCCCTTGTCCCCCCCCCCCCACAATCCCCGGGGGCATCTCCTGGCGATGCCGCCTCTGGGGTTCTGTATTTACTCCCTACTTCTGGACCGGAGAGTTGTTTGGTCTCTTTTTTCTTGTACGTGGCATATTTGTCTCAATCCTTTTTGAGTTCAGACTTTGTTCCCCTCCTTCCTATATCTGGAACTCCCTCCTCCTTCAAACCCTCCTGGTGGGGGGAAGGTCATTTTGGAAACTCCTCTCTCCATCCTGCATGTGTCCAAACCCATCCCCAGCCAGCGCCTCCCTCTAAGCCCGAGGACCATCAGCTCCATGCCCAGCGGGGCCCCAGCGCTTTCTCACCCCAGTAGAGGACCACGTCCTGGCCTCCTAGACTGCTGTGTCTCACTCGGCAAGACAGGCCGGCCGCCTCCCGCGCCGCCACGTCCAGGGTCACCCGGAGGTACCACGTCTCGTCGGCATGGGGCAGGACGTCGCCTCGCTGGGTGCCCGGCTGCTCCTGCTCACCCCGCATCCACATCACCCACACTGGCTTTGGGTGGAAGCCGGAGACGTGACACACCAGCAGCAGACGGTCAGGGTCGGGACTGGGGCGGCTGGACAGCCAGACCTCGGGTTTCACTGTGTGCAATAAGGAAACAGGGCAGTTGGGGGGGAGGGGCGGGGTCTCAAGGCAGGAACTCTGCATCCTACGTTTCCACCTCTGGAGGTGAAGTAGCTCATGACTCTGTCCATCTGTGTTGGCTTCTCCAGGAAAGCCTTCGACACCCCCGTCTCAGGCTCCCCTGAGCGCCCTGCACTCGGCTGTAACAGGTGTACCATTGCCCTAACTGTTCATGCGCCTTCTCCCCCTCCCCTCAGGCAGATTTCCTGTTTGACCCCCAGTATTGATTTAACTCAGTTGGCGGCACCCAATGGGTGCTCAGAGAAAGTCTGCGGGATGAATAAATGCCCTGACACCTTCTCCACAGCTTCCTGAGCCTCCTCCCCGCCCCCACTCCGGGGCCGATCCAAGGGCTGGAGCCCTGGAGTGGAGCGCGGGGGGCGAGGGGGGCAGGTTCACCTTGCTTCTCCAGATCAGACTTCCCTCCCTCCAGGAGGTCTCTGGCCAACTGGGGGCAGGTGTCATTGAGGAGCGACTGCACTGCTTCCCGGGTCCCCAGGTCCTCGTTGAGCTTTCCTGAGGCCCTGCGGGCCCAAGCGGGCGCATCCGGGGCGGGCACCCAGGCAGTTCCCTGGAAACTGATGATCTCTTTTCCTTGGAAGGCTGCGTGGAAGAAGCTTTGCGAGGTGTTCCCGGGGAGAACCGCACAGCCAACAGACGCTTGGATCTCAAAGGGATCTGAGAAGGCGCCGAGAAGACGGGCCGAAAGTATTAGACGGAGGCAAGGGACGCGTGGATGCGCGCCCGGGGCGGGTGGGGGCGGGGTGGGGGCGCAGGGGTCAGAGGCCGGGAGCGTGCAGGCAGAAGCGGGCAGCTGGACCGGGAGGCGCGAGCGGGGAGCCCCGGGAAGGAGAGGGGAGGCCGAGCCCAGGGTCCCGTCCTCCAGGCTCACACTCCAAGCTCAGCATTTTGACGAGCTCCTGCATGTCCTGGGTGAAGCTCCGGCGGTACACGCGCAGCATGAGCTGCAGGCCGTCCCACTGCTGCTGGCTGAGCGAGCCCCGCGCCCAGGGCTTGAGGAAGCGCACGGTGTCCGAGCCGCCGCTCCAGCTGTAGGCGCGCAGCTCCCCGACCAGACCCAGGCAGTCGGTGCGCGCCCAGCTGCGGTTGGCGAAGGCCGACATCTGCAGGCACCGCAGCTCGCCGGGGCCCGGGGAGAGGCCGGGACAGCGCGCCGGCAGCCAGAGCCAGCAGGCCACCAGCAGCCACCCGCCGGCGCGGCCCAAGGGCGGCCCCTCCCTGCGCGCGGGGCCCCGGGACCCGCGGTCTCCGGGGCCCCCCGCGCGCGCCGCCCCGCGCGCCTCCAGGGCTTCCCCGAACCTGGGGGAACCTCAAGGGCAGCAGAGGCCACGGCCACGGGCAGACCCGGGACTCGGACTCCGACTTCCCTGCAGGCCCCGGGCGCGCCCCGCGTCCCTCCCACCTCCGGTTGCCCCTCCTCCTGTATCTCCCCGCCCCCTCCCGCTAGCCCCGTCCCCGGCCCCCCCATCTCTGATCCCGTCTCCATCTTACCCCCCTCCAATCTCTGATTCCCCCAGCCCCAGTCCTCTCCCCCAATCTCTGATCACCCCCCCTCCTCCAGTCTCTAATCCCGCCCCCCCACACCCCATCCTCCATCTCCGGCCCCCGGTTCCTCATCCCTCCCCCCATCCTCCAATCTCTTCCACCTCAGTGTCTTCAGCCCCTCTTTCCTCCACCAATGTGCTTGCTCTCCTCCTTCCGCCGCCCAGGCCTTCTAGGTGCACCTCTCCGAAGGCCTCGCTTGGGGACCCTGCCGCTGCCTGCGCACCGACCCTCGAGCTACTCGCTCGTGCCCTCCCTAGATGTGGGCCCCGGTGTTCAGTGAAGGAAGCCGCATTAAGGTTCAGGCCCACATCAGCCATGAGCAAGCCGCGGACCACCTTGAGAGCAGGCCCCTCTTTGGCCGGTCAGAACGCGGACAGCACCCTGACACCCCTGTCCCACACCCCTTCTGCCCCAGCCCTAGTTGACCTCTTCGGACTCATCTCCGGAGCGTGTCTTGTTCTCTACATTTCTACCTCCACCACCACCGAACCTTCTGCTGCATCTCGTGAAACAGGTTTCTTAGGATAGAGACTGCAGAGGTCGATGGGGCCTGCAGGGTGATGCCCAGCCTGACCTGGGTCGCCCTGCTGACCGCCTCCCACCCCGTCCTCACTTGCTCAGCACACAAGCCCAGCCACAGTCCTTCAGTTCCTCCCATGTGCAGCGCTTCTTCTTCATGATGTCATTGCACAAAGTTCCCTCTGCTTGGAAAGCTCTAGGCCCACTCCTCCCCTCACCCGCTCCTGATGCCTAGTTATTTCTACTCAGATCTCAGCTCAAAGGTCACTTTCTTTTCTTTTTTTAGGAGAAAGTCCCCTTTCTTTTTTTTCCTTACACTTATTTATTTATTTATTTATTTATTTATTTATTTATAATGTTGTATTTATTTCTGAGTGAGAGAGAGAGACAGCGTGAGCAGGGGAGAGTCAGAGAGAGAGGGAGACACAGAATCCGAAGCAGGCTCCAGGCTCTGAGCTAGATGTCAGCACAGAGCCCGACACGGGGCTCGAACCCACGAACCATGAGATCATGACCTGAGCTGAAGTCAGATGCTCAACCGACTGAGCCACCCAAGTGCCCCTTACATTTATTTTTGAGAGACAGAGAGGCAGAGCTCAAGTAGGGGAGGGGCAGAGAGAGAGGGAGACACAGAATCTGAAGCAGCTCCAGGCTCCGAGCCACCCAGGCGCCCCTCAAAGGTCCCTTTCTTAAGGAGTCTTCCCAGACCTCCCTGACCATGTGGGCAGAGGCAGACAGGTCAGCTGCCCTGAGCCACCAGCTTCGTCCCCCTCCCCTCCCAGCCCTCTCCAGTCCCCTGCCCTGATGAGCTGCATGAGCGCCCTGGGGAGAAGGGGCTGCGTCTGGAAGGTGGCCTCGGCCTGCTCAGCAGGGGCCCCAGAATAGTTTGAGACCACACAGAAAAATTATTCTTGCCACAAGTAAGGGGCTGGTAATTAAATTAAGATATGAGGGGCACCTGAGTGGCTTAGTGGGTTAAGCGTCCGGCTTTCGCTTAGGTCATGATCTCGCGGTTCGTGGGTTCGAGCCCCGCGTCGGGCTCTGTGCTGACTGCCAGCTCAGAGCCTGTTTCAGTCTGTGACTCCCTCTCTCTCTGACCCTCCCCTGCTCACGCTGTCTCTCTCTCTCTCTCCTAGAAATAAATAAAACATTAAAAAAAAATTTTTTTTTAAATAAAAAAATAAATTAAGATATGAAATTGCCCAAATGGTGGCTAGAGGCCTGAATTAGAGGCAAGCTGGGGGATGGGGGCAGGACAGAGGTAAAAAGAAAAATGGTTTATGAACCAAGTGCAAGCATGCTGTGCATGGCCTCTCTTGGCATTCTCCAAATGTCCGGCCTCCTGTAAACCTTGAACTGCTGTTTATCTGCATCTTGAAATTTTCAAATGCTCATCTCCTTCCAGATTAGGGAGAAGAACTGGTTTGGTTTTTTTTAACTTTATTTTTTTAAGTTTATTTGTTTATTTATTTCTGGAGAGAGAGAGAATGTGGGGAAGGGGCAGAGAGAGAGAGAGAGAGAATCCCAAGAAGGTTCTACACTGTCAGTTGGTTTTAATTTTAATAATTTAAAAAAGGGCTGTGGTTTAATTTCTCCAGCATATATATATATGTATATATACGTATGTATGTATATGTGTGTGTGTGTGTATATATATATATATATATATATATATATATACACATATTTTTTCATTTTACTCAAAGCCCTAGCAAGCTTTGTCCTTACTATCTAGGGCCTGTATCAGGGTTTTATTTATTTATTTATTTATTTTTTTGCCCTTTTGTCATAGACTTTACACCTGTTAGTGGATCCAGCTTTATAAAGGGGAGTTCTTCTGCAGAGTCCCACCTCTACCATCCCAAGGCCAAGTCTCCTGTCCCTGCACAGGCAGTGCAAAGCCAGCCCCCAGCACCGAGGCAGAGCAGGAACCCCCGCCCCGCCCCCCGGCAAGCTGCCACCATCACTCACTCTTACTATTCCAGAGCTGAAGCTGTTCCTTACAGGCAGGTTTGATCTCGACTGCATTGTTTATCATATTTAGGTTAAATTTCTAAGTCTTTGAACTACATGTTGGGATGGGAACAGAGAACTGTTACCTTACTCTGTTCTGTTGCCAGAAATGGTTCACTACAATGTTCGATTTGTTCTGAGCACCTTGGTTGGAGAAGAGCATTTACAATGATACCCTGTCCAGAAGGAGTCATTCCAAATGGCGCAGGGTCTGAGATCATCAAAATGAAGAACACTTGAAGGGCCTAGCCAGACTAGCCGGTGTCTGAAGGTCTGTCCCTCAGAAACGGGCATTCAGTCACTGCTCGGTGGCCAGGGCAAGTGGCATTGGTCTCCACAGGTGACAGTTACCAGAAGACAAAATGTAGCTCAACACAAGAGCGAGGCAATTTTGTATCTATTAGTTAGTTATTCAGTAAATGATGGTCGGGGCGTGTGTCTTCTGCCAATCACGATGCCCCTGCTGGACCTCGAGGACCATTCGCCAAGTATGCTGAGAAAGAAATTGCTATGTGGGGCGGGGTCTTGCAATTCTAAGGTTCTTTGGTTTTGTGATAAAATTCTAATCATGTGGACTTTGCTTTCATGGTCTGTGGCTCAAGTGGCCTGGAACTCTAAGCACTTTAACCACCAGTAAAATGGAACAATGTTTACAGGTCAACCAAAAGGTGGAGGAAAACAAGTCTTAATGGCTACTTTCTCACATCCCAATTTTGACTTCAAGGAGAGGAAGTATCCCCCACTTTTCCCTACTGGGTGTGGCTCACAATTTACTTTGATGAGTAAACATTCTGTAGCAAATTCAGAACTACACTTGCCAAGGTCTTTGTCTAAACTGATGGAAGAAATCTTTCATTCTGCCCCTGGCCCCATCTCTCCCTCCCCTCCTTGCTGACTGTCCGCATCCATGTCACATCCAGCCAGCCACCTGCTTCCTTCCCTTTCCCACTTGCTTCTCACTCCTCCTCCTCCCTCATTCCCCCCTTCCTTCACACCTCCCCTCTGCTCCCAACCTCTGCCCAGATGGAAATGCGCCTGTGGTGTTCCAGGGACTGCAAGTTTTATGCAAGGGGCATAAAAATGGGATTTATTAAAACAAAACAGGGTTTACACTGCCACTACTCTGGCAGAACTCTGGCCCTGATCCTTTGGCTGGTTTCTCTTTTATCCACAGCCAATACCCATCGCAGGAGGTGACATGTCAACCAAAGTTCACACCAGCCCGGGGAAACAGCCTTGAGGAAGTGAGAATATAGCTGGGGAGTTGAGGGTTTTGCTGCTGGTGTCTGCAAGCAGTTTCTCACCCAGGAGCACAAGGGGCTTTCAACATTGACATTCGTTTCTCTCTGGATACTCACAACAGCCCGATCACCCTGATTCACACACAGACGAGGAAACCAGGGTGTGTCGATGCGCCCTAGCCTCCTCGAGGCTCCGCGGCCCTGAGTGTGAAAGATACGTCAGATTTCAAAAGCATCAACATGCAAAATAACGCACGATAGCGTATTAGTAATTTTTAGAATGCTGATTAGTGCTAAAACGTCCACATTTGGGGTATGTTGGGCTGAATATATTGCAGTGAAGCGTAGCTTGTTCCTTTCACCTCTTTTAACATGACTGCACGGCGCTTTTCAATTACATTTGTGGCTTCCGTTCCATTGTTAGTAGACAGTGCTGTTCTGGACGGATTTACACTCTTGGGGTTACGCCTGCTGTGCACAGCCTCACTCAACCCCCAGGCCTGACCCAGGGGACCGGTCGCTTCCTTGTGCGCAGCTGACAGTCCCGCGGCTGACGTTTAGGCACCACTGACCCTGGCCACCAAGCAGCGCGCCAGGCAGCACCTGGCCCAGAAGACAGGGCCGTGGGCGACCGCAGTGGACCGCAGTGCATGCGGGGACATCCACCTACACAAGCTCTCGGGCTCTGCGCTCAATCCACTTGCTGTTCTCCAAGAATTGGAGGAGGGGAAAGACACTGGAAAGATTTGCTCACTTGCCAGCTATTATAGACGCTTTGTTCCCCCGCGGAAGCTTTTATTATTTTAGTTTATCATTAAAAATATATTAAAAACCGGGGTGTCTGGGTGGCTCAGCCAGTTAAGCCTCCAATTTTG